AGAAGAACAAGAATTGATTAGGTGAAATAGAAGAGAGAAGAGCATTCCAGACAGAACAAAAGAGGTAAAATGAATTTGACAAGAGAGTGCATGATGACTCCTAAAAATCTCCTCTCAGTGAGTGGAAGCAGAAAGGAAGCAGGGATTGACCCGAAAAGGGCAATACCAGAACGGTAGATAGGATTCTGGGCTGCAAAAACTTGTTGATCATTTTCACAAGTTTCTTGTGTTGTTACCATACATGCGCCAACTGGAGAGGTAATAGAACAATTCACATGGTCAGATGACTATGTTGGTTGCCATATGCAGAAAAGATTAGAGTGTATGCATTAGCTTTTTGTTGGTGTGACAAATACCTAAGAAAATCAACTTAAAAGAGGAAAGATTTATTTTAGCTCGTAGTTCCAGAGGCTCAGTCCATAGTCACCTGACTCCACTGTGGTGGGCTGTGGCAAGGCAGAGCAGCATGATGGGTGACACTTCATAGAGTAAAGCTGTTTGCCTCATGATAGTCCCAAGAATAGAGGGAGGGGAGCACAGGAAACAAAGTATATCCTTCAAGGACATATCACCAGTGACTTACATCTTCCAACTAAGCCCACCTCCTAAAGTTTCTGCTCCTTTGCAATAGCTCACTGGGTTATAAATACTTCTGTTAATGCAGTTAGAGCCTTCATGATGTAATCCCCTCCCAAAGGCCTCACTCCTGACCACTGCTGCAATGGTGACCAACCCTTCAACACATGGATATGGGGGACGTTTTAGATCCAAAGTATGACAGTGATATTATGCACAATTATTTATATTTCAATTAACAAAGTCCTATTCATAGTGGTTTAGGAGAAAACATAATTTGTCGGTCTAAAATTAGAAACTGTCCAAGAGCAGTTATTCAGACACTAAGATCCACTTGCGCAGAGCTGTTTTCAGGAATGTATCTCTGTGTGTCAAAGATCTGCTCTCCACTGTGTTCACTTTACTTTTAAGTAAAATCTCCCCTCATAGTTGGCATCCTAGAACCAAAAATATCATATATTATTACCACAGCAGAAAGAAAGCCTCCTTTTCCCTGTGGTACCTGCACTGGCACTTCTTAACAGCTTTGGTCCCATGTCCATCCAGGAATCAATCACTGTGACCATAGAAGACAATGTACTCATGGTCAGAGCTCAACAACTGCTCATTCTAGAGCCAGGTTGCACTGTCAACCCCACCTGGAGAACATTTCCTGAGAAGAGGAAGTGGACAGCTCCCAGAAAGAAACCTCATGCTGTAGCCAGAAGTAGAAGATCTAGAGCAATAATAACAGATAAGGAAGATACTATGATACTAAGAAGATACTAGATATTGTGGTAGATTAAATATGAATGCAAATTTATCGCTGCTTTCTGAACAGTGGAGTTTTATTTGCTTCACTCTGATTCTGGGCTAGCTTTAGTAACTTGATTGATGAAAAGAATCGAGCAGAAGAAATATTCTAGGACTTCCTCTACTAAATCATGATAAGCCTTGCAATTTCTGCCTAAAATGTCCATTTTCTGTAAAGAAATTCAAATAGCTAGCTATGGGCTTTGGAAAACATACAAAACTCTTTCATCCTTGGTTTACTTACTTACGCAATAATAAGCACTCAATAACTGCTGGCTACTGCTTAATCATTAGTCTCTCCTTAATCTGTATTGAAGCAAATTCAGTAATATAGGGATAGAATTTGTCTTACTTTCCCTTTTATGAAGGATTATTTTATAATATTTTAAAGTTAGTAATGTTAGTGTCCACACTCTTATTATGGGCTAAATCACTAATCAACTAAAATATTTGTAATAGGAACTCTTACAAGAAATAAATTTGAGGGCCGGGGGTTTGGCTCAGTGGTTCTGCTGCCTGCCTTGCAAGTGCAAGGACGTGAGTTCAATCCCCAGTATCTGCCCCCCCAAAAAAGAAATAAATTTGATGTTCTATGATTCTGGGAACAATGTGGAAACATTCAGTGGTGATCTTTCCAGAAGTGGCTTTTTAAGTAGGGCTTTTCTGATGTTACAAATAGCTACACACCAATATCACTCCCAGAAATACCACCTCTGCAATTTAGGGAATTCAATTACCATTATAATTTAGTAACTGTTATAACTCTAAAGACAGAATTTCAGGAAGTACATTCTCAGATTAAGTATTTATAAAAATGCCACATTAAAGAGACATTTAAGCATATTATATAGTCACTGGTTTTATCCTACTTGCGTTTATCAAATGAGAGAGAAACAGAAAAAAATCAAGACACCCTGACTGAGGTACCAACTTACTTCCGAATAGCATTTACCAATGTCCATGATCTCACTGCTCTGTCACATGTCAAGTAGTGAGTGAGCTTGGATTACCCAGGTGTGAGTGGGGCAGAGACTCTCACTCACTTCTTTGGAACATCCTTCCATCGGGTGCAGATGAGGAAGGGAATATTGTCCTCATTGCCTGAGGAAATTTGACCATTTGTTGACTGGATGCATTTCACCAGCTGAAGTGACGTGCATGGTCTGATACAAACTCAGAGGCAGCCTGACTGTTCTCTCCAGGCAAAATCCTCTTCTCTTGGAGCTTTTGTCAGTTTCACTGCCAAACACCAAATTGCTTGAAGTAAAGAGGATTTGGGTCTGAGCCAATGGTGAACCAATTTCCAAACAGTTATCTAAAATGTCTCTATGACTATAAAAGACTTTCTGGGCCAAGTCATTGCTACCTAAGCGTAAGCCTTCAATGTTAGAACACTGGAAGAAGGATTAATCAATCAACACAGCACAGAATATTGTTAATCATACATTGTATTAAGTTAAGATCACTGCAAAAGCTCTAAATAATTTGAATCATTAAAATATTCATTGAAAACATCAAATACACTTCTAAAATCATTAGAAGTAATAAACAGATTCAAAGGAAAAAGTATTTTCTGCCACTTTACCTAAAAGTTTTATTATATTTTCTACTTCATTTTATAAAATGGAACAGAATATGGTTATTTAAAGTTAATTTTTTTGTAAATCCCAATATTTGAGAATATTTTCCTTTTTATCATACTAAGAATAAAATCCCAGCCTCTACATAGAAATATCAAAAGAAGAAAGTGTGCCTAACACAGTATCTAATGTGATGAAGAACTCAAGCTTGCGTTGCAGCCATGTTTGAATCTCTATCAAACCTTCTGGCTTCTCTTCACCTGGAGTTCTTACATCCCCAAATCAGACAGAGATTGTGTGCTAAACATCAACATTCCATATCAGATCATGACAGTGGCCATGATAATTGTTCTTGTTCATTCCTTCTCTCTCCTTTACAGAATGATTTGGATTGCTTTAAGCCTGCTTACAAGACAAACAGAAGAAAAATAGGGAAAAGGAGAACCCTTCCTGAGAACAGTATCCCAGGCTCTATTATTGTGTGCTTTATTAATAAATATAGCCACAAACCCTCAGTAATATTAAACTATCATACAAATTAGAGGGTGAAAGGATTTATACCTGTTCCCCATTTTTTTTTTTTTTTTTTTGCAGTACCAGGGATTGAACTCAGAACCTTGTGCTTGCAAGGCAGGCAACAGCACCATTGAGCTAAATACCAAGCCCCTTTAATAGCTATTATTGATAGTTCTGGGATATATCCATTTTATTTCTCTCAGTGGTAAACTTGTGAAAAGTATCCCAATGATTACCAATCCTAATTTTTCACTTAATTGTCCTTTTTTTTTTAAAATCTCAAACATTTCTGGAAGTGCGCTACAAAGGTAATGGATTAATAAAAGACACATGTCCATTTCACACATACACACCCACGTGTATACACAATATGATGAATAAATTTTTAATTGTAAAAAGAGGAAGACAATTATAATCTGCTTCACTTTACAATTGTTTCTGTGCATTTTCTTATGCTAGCACTAAAAACAGCCCCAAATGACAATAGTAGTATATTAACATATCAAGATATTTTTGTCAGGTAGGAAAAGTAAGTCTTATTCATGATCCCTAAACTGTTGTAGAAATTTAAATGATGTGATATTGGATGATCTTTTTGCTCAAACATGTGTTACTCTCCTGAATAATTTTTCCTTTGAATTCACACACACAATTTGACATTATATGGCCAGAGTATTAAATAAAGGAATTTTTTTTCATTTAGCAGCATCCCTTGAAATATATATTTAATGGAAATATTACATTTTCATTTGTGACATCAACAGGACCTAAAGTAGGTCCCTAAGATAATAGACATTCAGATTTGTCTACAAAGCCACCTCTATATTTCTGATCCAGCTTTTTAAAAAATCATGCTGATAACTGCTAATTCCACAGAAATGTTCTAAAAAGTCAAGAACCAAAATATCTCTTTCAGTAAACAATTTTATTTATAGTGGAATTTCCAAAATTTCTTATATCTTGAAATTATCCACAAAATATTAGTTAGTGCTTACATTAGAAAGATGCATTTCTTATAAGAAAAGGTCAAAATGTATACCACTAGGCAGTATTAATATATTTTTATTTAATACAATATAGCCAAAAGATTAAAGAAAAAAGTAAATGTTAAATATATTTAAATTCCCTGTAACTGATTCTCAGATGTTAAAATATTTTTTTAAAAAAGAAAATATCTAAATATCAGGGATAATATTTTGATGAACTATATTTATAAAAATATATAAGTTAAGCATTGCAACAGGTTATCTTCAATAAATTTCCTCCTATCAGAAATAACATTATTGGAACTTTGTATTTAAAGTAAAGAAGGCAAAGATGAAGATAAAGAACAGGAAGTGAGCAGGAACAGACAAAAGAGAAAGTATTCATTGTAACTGTGACTTTTAGTTAAATATACTTTCTTATAAAGTGGCAAGATAGTGTATACAAATTTACAATGGAAAATGACTGTTATTTACAGGTTGTTTTCACATCAGGCTCCTCTCTCCTTGTAGAAGGCCTCCCTGGCAGAACTGATCCAGGCTGGGCGTTAGTTCATAGCACATGATAGACAAGCCTGGCAGTGGAGGCCCCTGGAGTTACAGGCTGTGGATCCGTGCTGGGGACGGGAGAGAGGGAGGCCGGCTCCAGGAGAGGCAGCGCAGGCTGCTCTGAGGAGGAGATGCGATCCACTATGCTGGACAAGCAATCCAAGCTGGATAGGGAGCCTTTGTCTGTGGCATAGACTAATGATAGAAGGAGAAAAGCATTATAAGAAAGTATCCCCAGATAGACGCGGCTTATTTGACCCTTAAACTGTAGGTCAGCTCTTTTGACACCAGAGGTCAGGGGACCACAGAAAGCCTGATGTAGAAGTTCACAGCAAATATCATCGATTCAAAAGGGTGGAGGAGGGCGGTGTGGTAGCCCTTGGCAATATATCAAGCCAAAGTGTGTGTGTGTGTGTGTGTGTGTGTGTGTGTGTGTGTGTGTGTGTGTTATGGGGATATGGAGCAAAATATGTGTGTTTATTTTACTCTGAAGCCTCCTCATAAAAATCATCACTTTTATTTACTCTTTTCCCCAATCCTACCTGAGAGAAGATTCCACTTTGACATAGTGAATTATGAGGCTGAATTGTTCTTTAAATGCTTCTGAAGTTATCGATTCTTACCATTTGATACATCAGGACAGTAGACGCTGTCAAAACTGCTGTTCTTTCTGGACCAGATGGGACTATTACATTCAGGCTATAATATAAGACACAAAGAAATCTGTTTTCTAGTCTTGCCATAAGATGTTCTGACCTACATCAAGGCCGAGCTTGTCCACCAGTTCTTTCACCCGATCACTTTGGCCCTTCATTGCCCTGATTTAGGACTGGTTTTCCCTCTCCCGATTGCCAGGGCTCGGAGGTCACCCCCTGTGCTCAAAGAGGAGAACAGCGGCAAAGGGAAGAGGGAGTGGAATTTAACAGCAACGTGCACTGGGTTAACCATGCAAAATGGATTGGAGTACAAGGAAGCTGCACTAATTCTAAGAGAGAATATTTTCCCAGAGTAAAAACGCATTAAAACCTGGCAGCACTGGGGCAAACGCCCTCTGAAAAGAATGTACCAACATCTCCTCCCAGCCTGGCCACAGCAGAGCAGGACGACACGGGGGCCATGACTTTTTTGTGTCTTCAGTAAGTTATGAAAGATGGGGTATGGGGACCTTTAGTCGTTAATGTGTGGCAGGGTCCACTGGAGATCGATTTTGGAAATAAGCTTAGTGAGGGAGAAGGCAACTGATCGCTCATTCACAGTCACGGGTCCCACTTGCCAACCCTTTCTTACAATGTACATCTAGAACCTGATGAGGAAGTCAAAACTAAAATCTTACTCCACAGTCGTTTCCTGTCACTTTTCCAGATTGTGGATACCTCTCTTCTCTTAAAACAACTCAGCAACTGCGCCACAACCCATTCCACTACACCTGCTTTACAGCGGGTCAGGAATTCTAGCTAGCGGAGAGTGGGCGCCAGCGCCCGGCTTACCATGCCGTCGGAGCAGTTGGAGGTGGGGCTGGGGGGCTCTGAGCAGCTCTGGCCAGGCAGGCTGTAGTAGTTCTCCACCTGCTCCCGCAGCAGCTCCTGCAGGCTCTCGATGTAGCGGATGGCGTTCCTGAGGATCTCCACCTTGGGGAGCCTCTGGTTAGGGTTGGTCGTGGTGCACCTCTTGAGCGTCTCAAAGGCCTGGTTGACCTTCTTCAGGCGTCTCCGCTCGCGCATGGTGGCCGCCTTCCGCCGGTCCATGGTGGTGGACTTCCTCTTGCACGCCTTGCACGCCCACATGAGGCAGTGGCCCGCCTGGTGGTGGCCAGTGGGAGCTCGCACGTGCTCGTCCTCGTCGGAGCCCTGCAGCTCCGCTTTGTGCACCCCGAAGGCAGCCATTCGGGGATCAAACCCGTCCCCAAACTCACCCTCGGGGGACGGGATGCAGGAGCCGTCGTAAAAGTACTCGGAAGGTGAGAACTGGCAGCCGTCCATCACGTCCATCCTGCGGAAGGGCAGCGGGCACCTGGGCCCCGGCAGGGGAGAAGAGGGAGAAGCGCGAACCGGACCTCGGCGGGAGGGAAGGAGGCCAGGAGAGTCGGAGGGGGAGCCGGGTTGGTTTCACTGGTAATTAGCGAGGGCAGACGCTGGTCGGCCTGGGTCGCCGGCTGGGGTTGGGGCTCTTTATAGCTTCTTGGGGGTGGGGGAGGGAGGCCGGCCTCAGTGGCAGTGGGGGGGAGGCCGGCCTCAGTGGCCGGGACGATTAGCATATCGCACTGCAAGCCCCGCGGGGCTGTCTGGGCGAACCTCTGCCTTTCCTCTGGAGACGGTTTGCTGCTTACTGGCCCCCCAGATGCTAATGGTTTCACTCAGTTTCTGCCAGATAGGCATGGTTCTCCAACCTGCTCACTTGCACAGTCTAGATACCCTAATCCAGTGGGTCATTTAAAGAGTGAAAGAAACGTGCACCTTGTGGCAACTACTCACGTTAAAATAATAATTATTAAATATTTAAAATTTATTATATTATTATCACTCCCCACTGTCAACTGACACAGAGTCTCTCAAAGTTGCATCTGAAAAATCGTTCTATTCTTATTTCGCGAAATGTGTCTCAGGGTTTTTGTTTGTTTTTTTGTTTTGTTTTGTTTTGTTTTTTTCATTCTGTGGGCTAGAAAATGGTTGTTAAAAAGTTGGAAGTGACACTTTCAATCATGAAGTGAATCGACAGTTTGTTAAAATCTATTTCGTATAGACTGTGATGAGTCGGGTTCTAATCAGATAATCATTTCATAGGCTCTACCTTACTAGAGCTGGGTAGGAAGCTTCTTTTACTAAGATGGGGTTCCCTGTATTTGTGACCATCCAAAAGGAGGCGGCTCCGGAGGCCCAGGTGCCAGGGAACGCTCCTTCCCCTGCTTCCTAGCTCTGCCCAGCAGTATTTGCTGAGTGCCTCCTGCTTGGAGTCAGGCCTCTGCAACAGCCTGAGACCCCTAAGTTCTTCGTGGAAAGTGTCTCTAAGAGTGGCAGTGGAAGAAGTCCTATTTTAAACTTTCCAGTTTCCTTTCCCCCTCTTTCTTTGCCCCACCCTATTATTTCTACAGACTAAACAGCCAAGCTGGGCTTTGGGGTCGCTAATTTTCTGCTTTCAGGCAAACTAACACCGTTACAGATGAATCCCAGCTGCTGGCACAGCATCCTGGGCTAGTGTAAAATTTCCAATTCCTCCAACCCAGAGTGACTTCACAGAGATTGGTGACAAAAGCCTTCCAGAAAAGCAGTTTCATCAGGGTCTTTGAAACTTTGGTGGGCATCAGAGAAGAGGGAAAGGCTTCCACTGAAGTAAAAAGAGTTTAACAATCGGCTTTTACCAATTCTCCTCTACCCTTAACCCAATTGCAGATCTTTATTGGTGGGTGCTGTTTATATTTAGGAAAAAACAAATACTTAAATTCTATACAGACATTCCTGGATTTGGGACTAGGGCCTGTGGCTCCACTGAATAAAAAAGGAGTGTTCTTAATTCTGCCCAGCTCATCAAATTTAATGTGTCTCGGGATGTTATTTGGGATGAGAAAGAGATGTATTTGTGTTATTATTTTGCAAAATTGCCTCCCCTGTTGGCTGATCTGGCCTTTGCAGGGGCAAAAGTAGCTGGAACTTTTCCTGGGTGAGATTATTTGGAAGTGAAGATCCAGAAACCGGGAGAGTGACAGTGTTAGGCTTTAAATTGCTAACCAAGCCCACATTCCCTCTTCTGCCTACCTTGTCTCTCCCTTCTGTCCCCTCTAGACTCTAGGATCAGAGTCTTTCTCACATGGAGGGGCTGCTTAATCGTCTCTACTTTATTTAGGCTTATTTGCTACTCTATGCTTTTGAAATGAATACAGTACCCAGGAATACACCAGAAAAAGGTAAAGTTCCTGGGGGACTCAGGTTCCTCCAGCTCACTGGTGGAAGCATTTGAATGCATAGCACACTGTTACCTCTGAAATGCAATTGTGGGAAGATACCTTCACCCAGGAATTCTTGGGCAAGGCCCACAGGCTCTAGTCTGCAACCATATGGCCACATTTTCCCTCCTGTGTAGTGCATTATAGCACATCCAGAGCAGATAAAACAGAGTTGTGATTTGGACACGTATAAATTTGAAGCAGAAGACAGAGGTTCTGCTTCCTTCTGCTTTTCAGCTAATTCCTGAAAGTATTTAAGGTGCTTTGTATCCAGTGCCTTCAGCATGGGTGTATGTCACTAACAGTTATTGAGAGTTTTCTATTTGTCAAACACTGTTCTTAACCTGTTTCATGCATTTACTCAATCAATCCTCCAACTAACGCTGTAGGAACTATACTTGGACCCAATTTTTTAAGAGGGTAAACTAAACTCTGGGGCTTGGGTAATTTGTCCCAGGTCACACTGGATTGAAAACTAGGCACCTCATCCTTAGATGTTTTCTTCAATCAATTCAGACTGTGCTTTGAGTCAGAGCAGAAACTCACAAAAAGCTGAATCCTGGACATTTTGCCCTCAGCTCCTGTGCCTGGGAAGACAGTGTCACTCAGGAGTGGTAGTTCAGGAGGGCTGTCTGGTAAGGTGATCTCAAAACAAATTTACCAGAGTGCCTCACGCCAGTGGAACTAAAGAAGCCAAGAAAACACAAGTGCCTGGAGGCTTAAGGAGACCAGCCAGGGGCAGGAGGGGGGAGAGGGTCCTGTGTGGAGGGCCCTTGGGACTCAAGTGCTGAAAACAGGCTCTCAGGGCACCAAAGTAAAACATGGGACAAACTTTTAAACTGGTGTCAAGGACTAGAGAAGAAAGAATTTTAAAAAGCAAGAAGTAGTCCAAAAGAAGGAAGGGAGCTGACACTCAAAGATGACAGAGGACCCCAATTCAGGAGTGGTTCCTTACTCTTTTTCACAGGAGAAATCTTGAGAGCAAAAATGGAGAACTGGGTGAGCCATGTGGAGAAAACATTTTTGAATGGAGAAACCGAACCAAGTAGCATGGAAAAAATTGAAATTTGCTTTGAAAAAAATGAACTAGTTGTCAGTGTGCCCTATTTTAGATTCTGCTCCTTAAAATATGTTTTGCTTCCCGCTATTTATTCAGAGAAGTGAATTTCTTACATTCAGAGAAAATTCACATTAATTTAATATGTAAACAGATTGCTAGAAATGATACTCCAAGTAGGAAAGCCTCAAAATAAACAGAGGGGAAGAAAACAGCCGCACCCAGAGTTGTAAATGAGTGGCCACTGTGATTCTGAGAGGAAGATGAATAATCTATTTACTTACATTTTTAATCTTTATATTTTTGTCAATAACAGATACATGTTTAATTTTCTAACAGCTTAGACTTATAAATATGTTTCAACTGCAATGACCTTTAAGTCATCATCACCTTTTTCTTTTAACAGAACCCATGTTTATTTAACCATTATGACAACACAACACAACACAATAACTAGCGTTGGTGGACAGACCACACCAGCAAAATGATGTGCATCACTTTTTTCAGCGTACTTTGCCCACCCTAAGAATTCTGTATTGAATTGAAAATGCTGTATGCTTCTCTTGGAGAAACCAAAAGTACATAGAGCAATTAACCTACTTCAATTCACTGCCCCTTTCTGCAGACCCTTACCAACTCCTGGACAGTGAGAGTGATTCTTGAGAGCTTTGATTACTGTAGATAACTTCACAATGTGCTAAACAATTTCAAACTGCTATTAGCTTTGGGAACTGGGCACACCTAAGTAAACACATTAGTACCTGCCAGAGCTGCTCGAAGAATTTGTGGAGAAGACAGCTGAGGAAGACATTGGCCTCTGCTTGAATTCAGAGACTCCCAAGAGAGATCAAAGGACTAAGTAAGGACATTTAGCAGCCTTGAGAGTAGAGAAAGTAGCAGGTTCTTACAGAGTTATCTTTGTTCCAGCACATGGCACAGCCATTCCTCCTCATGGAGTGACTCTGAACTAGGCTTGCAAAACAGTTGCTTTTAACACACAGAATCCTCTAGGACCAAAGATCGATCAATGTTTTTGTAAGTGTAATTAATTTGAGGGAGTGACTGCCAAGACCTAGGGGAGAAAATATCAAATTATTGCTAATTTACTAATGCATTGGATTAAGCAGAGAGATATTCAAAGTAAAACATTAGAAAAACTTCCAGGTATAGTGTTTTGGGAGGGGAGGTTTTGAAATGAAGAAAGGAGATAGCACAAATAGTAAATTCTTCTAAATTCAAGTAATAAATAATATCTTGATAAGGATAAGTCCACTTTTAGTATCCCAAGTTTTCTCTGCCAGTCTCAAGAGCAGTTGGGAACACTGATTTTTCTGCATTCTCCCAACCCTAAGAACATATGAAAGAGTTCAGGAGAAAAGTGAGACCTTTTGCCATGGTGGATCTCCACACTGTCCAGAATTAGAATTTAATATTTTGTGTATGATGACTGAAGTTAGTTTGAGAAAGTGATACTTGATGTTCCACAAATTATTTCTAGAATAATATAACAGAAAAACCCATTATTTTATACTTGAAAACTTTATATGAAGCTCTGGAAAGAGGCTTGGATTCAATCCTAAATTGTTTATCTTTACCAGGTTATTACGTCTTGATTTTCTGCTTCCCCAGCCTTATTTGTTTTGGCTTTGGCCTTGGTAAAGATTATCATCATTAATATCAAACAAAAACATTTTAATTGCAAACACACCAAGAATTTCATTGGAAAGTGCAGCATGTCAGCAGCTACAGCAGGGGAGGTCACATGAAGACTTTGGGAAATATTTGCTCTATTTAATGAAGGGACTACCATAGGCAAACTTATTCCAAACAATTTCTCAAGTTACCTAGCTAAGAAAGATAGAGGATTTGGTTTACAAAGACTGAATAAAATCCATCAACAAGCAGTCTATGAACAGATAAAAACGTCCTGCTGCTGAACAATTTATAACACAAATCTTACTATACATGTAAATACAATCATAAAGAAAATGAATTTAACCTAGTCAATTATGATACATTATTTCAGTTGTGTAATAAATTTGATTTTTAAAAATATTGGTGTGCATATGTGCATTTTAGGGCCAATCCCTACTTACTCTCAGAAAAAATTGACAGATATGTAACATACATGGTTAATGGGGGCTACACACCAGATATATTCACACATATCTTGGCTGGATAATTTGGTTGGTAAATGCTTTATCATTTATTTCTCAAAGAAGCTATTCTAATTTGGAGTTCAGTAGCTAGCTACTGTAGGGAAAGAGCTTTTGGGAAACAAAAGTCAAAGTGAGCCAAATTATTCTACAAACCATAAAATGTGCCTAACTTCCCAAAGCTACTCTTTCAGGGTGCATGGCAGCTGAGAGCAGAAGCTTGCAGCCATTGATAATTGCTTGGTTCTGAGATCTGGCTTTCTACTTAGCAGATGGTGAGACCTCTCTATTCCAAAGAGTCCTCTTCTCTAAAGTAGGGGTACTAACTACCTCTCTCGATGGTTGTTTTAGGACTATGAAATAATACAAAACCCACTAAAAATGGGTCATTCGCATTGCTGCTGGTTCTCGTTGTAATATTTTCCCCAACCAAAGCTAGCAAAGATTGAAGGAATCATGAGTTCTGGTGGAAGAGAAACTTTTCAATAGTTAATTTAGTTTTACTAATGAAAAAATAAAGAATTGGTTTCTAGTGTTTATTTTGTCCTCTCTTTTGGCTTTACATGTGTTGTCTCAGTGAATCTTCACAACCCCAAGAGTCAGGCACTATTATCCACCCCATTATTTCCTAAAAGAGGCAATTTGGCTAAGAAGGAACAGTGACTAGTCCAGGGTGACACGATAGCAGCATGGGTTTAATCCAGGCAGTTATCTTCCTGGAAGCTCAGCAGTTGCAAGCAATAAATCTTCCACCTGTCCCTCTCAAGACTTTAAAGGGTATTATATGTCAATGTCTGTTTCCTCGATGAATTTGTCTGCATTTTAAAAGTATTTCAGAATAAACAGAATTATCCATATGCCAATAAAACAAACTACAGGTGGAGCATACCTCATCCGAAAATCCAAATTCTGAAATACTCTGAAATCTGAACAGCTGGCCTGCTGCTAGAGAACTCAAAACGTTTCAGATTTTGGAGCATTTCAGATTTTGGATTTTTTTTTTTTTTGGATTAGAGATGCTTAACCATAAAGTCTATGCAAATATTTCAAAATCTGAAACACTTCTGGTTTCAAGAATTTCAGGTAGTTGTATTACCCACAGGAAGGGGAACTCTTTTCAGACCTGCAAAGGGGGCAAGGTTTAACTGCACAACTGCAGAGGGTTCTGTCTGTGGTACTTTCTGAAACTTCTGTGGGGTGCAATTAGGAGGAAGGTCCAGCCTTTTGAGGGTCAGGAAGCAAGGTTGGACTGCAGAATGCTGAATTCTATTTGAAGACCAGCAGTGGGCTAAAAGAGAAGGCAGAAGTTAAGATATAGGGGAAGGGAGTGAAGGAACTATTTACAGAATATAAGAAAGAAGTAATTCAAAAGAAATGGCTTGCTTCTGTCCTCTGCCTCCCTTCCCACTGCATTTCTTGGTGGTCATTTCTTCCTGAGGTTACTAGATAAACAAACCTGGCACACGTTGCAAATTCCTCATGCTGAGGAACTCCTAGGGCTTCCAGCCTCTCTGAGGTTTTGCTGTTTGGCCCAGCTAAGAGGTTTCATGTGTGTTGTTGTTGTCTTTTCCCTTCAACCATTTAACCCTTCCCTCTCTTGAAGCAACCCCTTACCTCAAGAGACAGATTGTTCCTTTCTTTTATCTTTCTATTGGGAAAACAAATACAGGCCAAAGAGGCCTTGAGGATATTCCAGTCTGCCAGGGACCAGTCTAGTTCAAGAAAACTAGGGGAGGAGGCCAATGCAGCCCTGGGGTACTGCAGACCACTCTTGCGACCGACCTGGAGTGTCAAGGAGGGAAACACCAATTCTGACTAAAAGGACTGAAAGTCATTTAGGGAAATAAGCAAAGACTTTTGCTTGGGGTTTGCTGTAATAAGATTTTGCTAGATTGAACATTCGGTGGTTAACCTTGGGTAAGTAAATCTTACCTATGCTGCCAAAGTATAGAACAGAAGAACAGAAAAGATGCTGCCAAAAGAAAAAATTGGATTCCCTCTTCACATTCAATTATAAGTGAGAGATCTACGTGAAATATCGAAGTACTCATTTTAATTGAGACAAAACAAAGCAACACATTTTCCTGCCTTTAAATTAGCATAAAAGAGAAGACTCAAATAAACTGGCTTGTGTAGTGTCTAAATTAAAACATTTCTCCGATTTATTGTTGCCCCCAAACATTTTCCAAGTTGAATCAAATTAAGGCCAACTTTATTCATATAGAAACTTACTTTTAATATTACAACACCTGGATCTTCAAGCATTTTATATACAATCCATCATTCCACATTTAAAATATATTTCTTAGGTTTACATAAAAAAGGAAAGTACTAAGATTATTTACAAAAATACATTTAAATATCACTAAGATTCAACGTTCCCATTTTGCTTTAGACAGGAATGAACTTCTTTTGAGTATGGCACAAAGGGATCATCGAAATAAAAGTGAATATATAACAAAACCAAACAACAACAAAATTAAGAGCGCTAGACCTAAGCCACTCGCGGTTCCAAAGAATAAAAGCCCAAAGCCGAAAGGCCTTTTTCATTTGAATCTGCACAACAGTTTCTTTGTGAATATGACTCTCTCCCTTTCAAAATCTCTGGAGTCTGGGTTCTTAAATATCAATGCAAAGTGACCTAATCTAAACGATTAGGCGCAAGGGTCTTCCGGCGGGCACAGTTACTTCTCCACCACCTCGTCCAGGATCGGGAGCTTGCCCTCCTCCGAGGAAATACTGTCCACGATGGAAGAAAGGCATCGAAGGCTGCTGGAGGCCGAAGAGTCAATGCTTGTTCCTCCTAAGTACGGAAACACAGAGACCGTGGCCTCGGACCACCGGACAGCTCTGCCCCCCGCCCCCCACCCCAGGTGGAGCGCTCGCTCCTCTCGCCCGCAGGGCTGGACACGGCGCTCACCGCTCCTCCGGCCCCTTCGGGCACCCCAGCTCCCTCCCGGGATGCTCTCCTGCTCAGCCCCAGCTCTGCCTTTTACTTTACCTTCCTTAGCCGTTATCACCAGCCCCCTGGAATGATCCGAAACACTTGGCCACTGGGAGCTGCAGGTGCGCAGGAAATCCGCACCCTCAAGCTGGAGGGAAAACCAAAGCAGAAGATTAGGAGAAAGGCAGAAATTCCGGGGGAAGGGGTGCTTTGTGGGGGTGTCTCCCCTGCTTCCTCGGGCCTGTAGACGTTTCCTGCCTATTGCGGAGACCCGGCCTTCTGGGGTCACTGGGGGTTCGTTACGGAGTGAGGAGTGAGCAGGAGGGGCAGGCGTTAAAGGGGGAGGAAGAAGGGACCAGGCAAGCAGCTGGAGGTTAAGGCCCCGAGGAGGCCTTTAATCAGCCATTGCATTCCCTGCGCCAGCAGCATCTGGGCTTACAATTTCTTGCTTGGGCCTGTAGCTGAAAGGGTCCACCCCCAGCTCCTGCATTTTCTCCTGCTGATCCAGCCGGTGCAGCAAGTCCTGCAGTCGTTCGATATAGGTGATGGCGCTCCGCAGAATCTCCACCTTGGGCAGCCTCTGATTGGGGTTGGCCACAGTCCTCCGCTTCAGTGCCTCGAAGGCCTCATTGATTTTCTTAAGCCTTCTCCTCTCGCGCAGAGTGGCGGCTTTCCGCCGGTCGGTGGGGGCAGATTTTCTCTTACAGGTCTTGCAAGCCCAGATAAGACATTGGCCAGGGCAGTGGGGAGGCTGCAGACCGGGGGGCGCCAGTACGTGTTCTTCTCCACTGCTGTCGCTCCCGGCTTCCGGGGGTATTTGGTCCTGGCAGGGGGACAGGGTACCATCACTCCCTGGATACAAAGGAGAGCCCTCTGCCACTTCTAAAGGCTGCAGAGTAACATTTTCCCCGTCCAAGTAGAAGAAATAGGAGCCAGTTTCGAAAAGGTCCATCATCATGTTCTCCTGCTTGGCCTCTGACTCGATCTGAACTGGGTGATGGGCTCAAAAACCCAGAGGAACCACCCAGATGGCATTTAATTAGTGCAGTGACATAAGGCGACCTAGCTTTATATATAGTAGCTCCTGAAACTCAATCCAACTTTTAGCTGTCATGGAACGTCAGTCTCCCAAGTGATTACAGCTACTGCTCCCTAGAACATCTAGTTTGTAAGAAAACTGAGAAGCATCACCAGAGTGATGTAACTGTCAGTGTGAAGAACAGGTTAGGAGGAAATACAGAGTCGCATAATTTAAACAAATCCTTGAATGTTTCCATTTGGGACAATTCAGACAGTAACCTCCTTACAGGACAACTTCAAAACAACTGGGGATTAACACTGTCCCTTCCCCCTCCCCCCGGGCTCATCTGAATTCTAAGTATAGAGTCATGATGAAAGATTTCAAAGGCAATAGCCATTGCTCCAAAATAGCCTGGTTAGTATTTGCAGAGTGGTTCAGCTCTTTTCTCTCTTCTGCCTGTCAAAAAGTTGCTATTCCTGTGATTAAAACCATTACAGTCCTTCAAAGGTTATACATGACTTTCATGCTTCAGCCTCAATAGAAGCAGGTAAATCTCTTTCCTCTCTTTTACTAAAGTTGTAAGATGAGTTGGGAGCTGGTGGGGTGGCTGAAGGGTGCTCACATCTCATGATACTGTACGAAGCGACTCTTGACTTTCTAGATCCTTCTATGGTTATTTTTCTTTTTCCTGGAGAGGGGCAACCAGAATTTGAATTGTTTCCTTCCATGCGTAGAGCAGTAGGACATAAGAAGTACAGGCTGAGATAGAGGATGGGATGCAATATGTGTAATTACTCCTCTATAAAAATAGTTGTAGCGACAAGACTCCTACCATAGTTACCTGATATATCAGGACGTACCTGGGGCCACCTCCCAGGTGCTTCTGCTATAGCCCATGTTCTGCACATAAGGAGTTGGGTGCTCCCTACCTTGTCATTCACTTTCTATTTATTAACGTCCTATACATTGGTTGAGAGGATTCACAGGTGAAAGGCAGCAACCAAGGCACAAGCAAGAAAATAGAATCTTTGATTGCAGCTTGTCTGTGGTTCAACACACACACGCACACACACATGTACACACACAGGTACACACACAACACATGTATACACATACACACACACAAGCTTGCTCCATAGTTGTTTGTTGGCAATATGTTGCAAAGGTCAAGTGCAGGGGCCCTAGTTTCTATGTAGCTTTCTTCAAGTCCTAGCTAGGTCAACTTCTACCTGTGTTTCTCTAAGTACCAGGCACTAAGTTTTTTCAAAATAATAGTGGCTGCCTTATAGGGTTTTGATGAAGATTCTTTCAAACAATATGTGAAGCACATAGCTGCTTGATGAATATTACTTATTTATTTCATAAAACCATGTCAAGGCTATAACAAATTTTAATGCAGAAAATAAAACACAGCTGTTGGAGAGGTTTTTCTCTCTTTCTTTGGTGGTTGTTTTCTTCTCCCTTCTGGTCCCTTTTATTTGATTTTATTTCTTCCCCTAGAACTTTGAAAGGATCCCTGCTTCTGACAAGTGGCCTTTGGGATGACAGTCCACCTTGGTTTTGGCCTTTGTAGTTAGTGCCTGAAAGACAAGATGGAAAACATCAGGTCTTATTATTCTGTCTCGAACAGTGATGATTATAGACTTTGTTCCCTATGGCTTCATTTTTAAAAAATAGAGTGAAAAAAGATGAAAATAAAGTGTTTGTAGATGGGGAGGGGAGGATGGGGTGAAGGGAGGGCAGGGACATTGGGAAAAAATGAGAATCAAGATTTGTCATGTAGAGGTACAAGATCCCAACAATGAATGTAACTGTACTGTATCCCTAAAATGTACCAATAAACTCAATTAAAGCTGAAAAAAAATAGAGTGAAGATAATGTAAGGAATCAACTGTCAGGCAATTTAGGAGCTAGTTAAATTTTTAACTCAAGTTTTTTATTCCAAAGTTCATTTCTCATAATCTCTATTGAGTATATTATTGAGCATATATTGACTTTGCATATTAAGTTTTAAATTTTTTGGTTGTTGATATGTTCTTATGATTGTGTAGCTGCTTATTCCTTACCAAGCCTAAGAACTATTCTTAAATTTTTGGAATGGGTAGGGAACACAGGGCAGAACAAGAATAAGCCAATACATTATTTTTTGTGATGTTTTATTTCATTTCTACCGGTGGCCTGGCTGGCAGAAAGGCTTCAGTGACTCAGTTTATAATCTAACATATGCTGTGGAAAATGAACTTGGGCTTTTAGTATTAGTAAGACTTTATCCTTTCTCTCATAAATATGAAAAAAATTTGAAGGCTTATTTTTGAACCAGTAGAATTATATAGCATTATTCAAATTATTAATGTAACAATGACTGAAATTCATTTACTCAACATTTGTTTGGTATATGCCAAGGTTAGATTATTTCCTGGTTGCTAAGAATATGGAGCAAAGTAATAATCCTGGTAGAATTTGAATCTAGAGGGAGACATGACATTGACAAAAACATAAGACAGGAGAATTGAAATATGGAAGGCTTTCAATGTAGTTGTTTTTGGCCTTTGAGTTCTTAGAAACCCCCAGTATCTTAAATCCTTACATTTTCGTCCATAAAATTTGTATAACAAAGATTTCCATACTCTCAAGGTTGTTATAAAAATAAAAAAATTTAAAAACTTACAATGTAGCACATTTGGGGAGAGTAGAGAGTAAGGAGGAATGGGGACAGGTTGGTCAAAGGGCACTAATTTACAGTTAAATAACAGTAAGAAGTTGTAGTATGCTGCTGCACACTAGGCTTACTACAGATAGCAACAATGTACTGTGTGTTTCCAAAAGCTACACAAAGGATTTTAAAAGTTTACACCACAGAGAAATAAAAAATGTGTGAGGAGATAGGTATGTTAGCCTGACTTAAACATTACACAACATGTGCATGTATCAAAACATCACAGGATACCGCATTAATATGTAAAATTTTATGCTGTTTATGTATCAGCTAAATTTAAGCAGTATACTATATGAGAATCCTTTATTGCTGAAAGTACTGGGTTGAAAAAAAGGTGAAGCAAGAAAAATGTAACTAACAAAGAATTTTGAAGCTTGAGTAATAGAAATAACATTTAAGGCACTACTGTTCCTAGACTTGCCACTGCTGTTTAGAGGTATCAGGTAGATGTTAGTCTGTATTTCAAGAACTTACTCCTTTCCATCTATTCTTTTATTCATATGAAACTGCTAGAGAAATGTAGAAAAAGAAGATTTACAATAGAAAAAGTGTTGGGAAGCTAAGAGCTTTTGGGAACCTAGGAGAAGCCTCACAGATCAGAATGGCTTTTCCTACTATAAATTCAACTTTCACCTGTTGAATTGTTGTATATTAAATTACAAGTCTCCTTTCCCTTTTTCCATATGCTCTAGAACTCAGGCAAGAAAAATTAGTATTAGTACTCCCCTTGGCAGCTTCTCCTTTTTCTTCTTTATTTCACCCCCACCTAGGGTATTGAGTGGAGTAAGCAGGACTAGGGAACAAGAAAATACCAGCTTGGTAAATAACCATCCTTTATTCAATTAGGTCAAAAGGAAAATACCCACTGGTTCCAAACAACCAACTTGTGAAGATTTGGAACTCAAACTGTTTACAAAATGTGAGATGCCTGTAATTGCAATTACATTATTCTCAGTAGCACTTGGGAAACACAGATCTTGAAAAGTGGTCAGAACAAGTTGACACAGCTGGACTATTACAAGCTTTAAGTATGTAAAATATATTTTTATAACAATAGAAAAAGTAAATAATAATAAGGGAATAGTTATATTGTCACTAATACATCACTCCATGGGCTTAAAATCTAAAACTAGTAAGTGATAGAACTGAAAATTTTCAAGTAGTTAGCCATCATTTTATTTTTGTTTCATATCATGCTTAATTATTTAAAAATGTATATCTTTCTATCATCTTCAAAAATGTTTAAACATGTCCAATTCCTCAGGGAGGAAAGGAGTGCTTCAGTTTTATGAGAAATCAATCCCTATATTATGGACTTGTTAACATAAAATAATAGACATAGAGTCCATGATATAGGCTGTGCACTCAGCAAACATCACTTCTCTTTCTTCTCAATTTATAAGGCTTCTGGTCGAACTAGTCACAATGAATTTGTTGAAAAACAAAAAACAAACCAACAAAATACCCCTTGTGGCTCTACAGCATAGAAGATAAAGAAAGCACCTATTGACTAAAAGACACAATTCAGAAGAGGTAGATTAGTGATTTAAATTCGTGGCCACTAAGTGAGTAATATGAATCTGTGCAGCTGTAATTTACTTAATCTGAAGACTGTTTGTGCCCAGAGATTCCCAAACACTGTGGTAAAAATAGTTTTGCATTTAGACTGACAGAAAATTTGAGTCATTGCAAGGGACGCGACGCGGGGGAGGTGCACAAACCAAGCAGAGGAAAAAGAAAGATCTTAAAGGCGAATCCCTTGCAATTTCCACAGGGCAGTAGCGAAGTATTATACACAGAAATGGGGCCGGATGCCCGGAGGGCTCCAGGGGATGACTTACTGTGGAGGAGCCTGTTAGAGACAGCCCCAGGGAAGTGAGTCCAGGCAAGGAAGGGGAACCAGACGGGCTCATATCCTTGCGGAAAGGTCTCTTCTATTCTTTGCTCCCGCCGCCCCCACTTCCATTACCTAAGAGCAGGAACAGGCCTTCACAAAAGCCTATGTTCCTTTCATGTAGTAGCCTCAGAAGGACTCTGGAAAAGGCTGCTGGTCATTTCTTATCTCCTAGGCATGATTTCCAGGCAAGCAGAAAATGAATGCTTCTATTTTTTATTTTTTCCAAGGAGCATTCATTCCTTGGTGCAAAAAAACCAAAATCTTCACAATTCCACATCTCCCTTCCTGCCCCTTTCTGTTTTTGTTTTTGTTTTTTTTAATTTGAGAGTAAAGTTTGTGAACCATTGGAATTTTTCCTTTATTGTGAGTGACTGAATAGA